GCCTCTAGCTAAAGTTAATTATAACCTTGATCACTAGAAAATTAAGACATACATGAGTATGTTGAGAGGAAGATTAAGGGCAAGGAATTGATGGACGAAAGATCTGACGGATTTGATCGAAGAGAGATCGAGCTGAAGAAAATCGATACGAGCATTAGGGTTCATTTGAAGAATCATCTCTTTGGACTCATTAGCAGCTTTTGTGTTTCTTGCAGCGATGATGGCATGAGCTCCTCTCATTGCTAACACTCTTGCTGCCTCCAATCCAATCCCACTTGTTCCACCTTTATTTTTTAATTTCATTTTACCATTTAATTAAGGATATTGCAAGCAAAATGAATATAGTACAAATGTGTCTATATATATATGTAACATTCGAATTTACCAGTCTTTGATCAATTAGAATCCATGCATTTTAGATGGGTCAATTGCAACTATATAAAAAAATATCTGAAACAAATGTAAATGCATTTTTGTAATTTTTTTTTTTAAGGAAGAAAATCTTTATTTTAGTCTTTGTATGGTCGTTACAATTCAGAAGAAGGAAAAACAAAAAATGTTTCTTCTTTGGAAAATTAGCATGAATAACACACAAAAAAGCTATAACTAAAATTCTAACAAATTAACCACACATGCTAATTTTCTTTACTTTTTAATTATAATTTTTTTTTTTGTTAGATAGCAAATTGTCCCTTGTCCCTTCTTCTTCTCTTTTTTTTGGATCGAAAACAAAAATGTCTCTTCTTTTACCTTAAATCTTAAGAGTATGACTTTTTCCCACCATTAAATTATATTTCATATTACATTAATTCAAAATCAAGTAAAATTGACTAAATTGTATTCTTTTGTGCAGAAAAGTCTTCCACGACACCAAAACGTAAGATAATTTTTCATGGCAATAAATATGATTTTTTCTCCACAATATGGAAAATAATAGATGAAAAAGAACAACAATTAAAAAAAATAATAGAACCTGTGATTATGGCAGTAAGATGATTAGCATCAATGGTATGAGTAACATCTTCAGCTGTTGAAGCTGATCCAAATCCACTCTTTCCTGCTTTCCCTGTAACCATCCCATAAATCCCCATTA